AAGGGAGACATCTGTCAGTGTAAGACATGAACAAAAATGTTTATAAATTATCAAAGGCTCATAAGGGAGGGAGGGTGGGGGAGGGGGAAAATGAGCTGATACCCAGGGCTCCAATATAAAGAAAATGTTTTGAAAATGATTATGGCAACATATGTACAATTGTGCTAGACACAATAAATGGATATATGGATTGTGATAAGCGCTATACGAGCCCCCAATTAAAAAAAAAAGAGTGACAGTCTCAGACCCGAAGGGTCAATTCTCCTGTGACCTGTCGCATTCCTATGAGTCAGAATCAATTCGGTGGCAGTGAGTTTGGCTTTGGGTTGGAGCCTTGGTGATATAGTGGGTTATGATTGGGCTGCTAACTGCCCTTCAAACCCATCAGCCACCGTGCAGGACAAAGATAAGGCTTTCTGCTCCCATAAAGATTTACAGGGTCCGACACTCACAAGGTCAGTTCCACTTTGCCCTGTAGAGTCAGAATTGACCCAGCAGTTTGGTTTATGTGTGTGTGTGGAGGGGGGGCCACCAGGGGCAGGACTGCTATACCATCTCACAAGGTTATGGGGTGGTTCCCCCCAAGTAAGACTTGTATTACTTGTAATGACCTTACAACCCTGCAAGTTTAATGTCCTTGAACACATCATACCTCTAGGTTGAGAGGAAGGGGCAGATGGGCTGCTACTGTTGCATCCCCCCCTCTCTGCTAATAGACCTTGCTGTCAGGAAGAAACACTTCGAAACATCAATGTAGTAGGTGGTGTTATAATTCTCACTCAATGATACCCTTTCAAGCAAACATCTGTCATTATTTTTGCTCATGTAGTTTTACCACCAGCTGATACCCTAAAGGCGTTCATTAGGGCACTGAAGCACTCTTCTGCAGGGACAAGACGGTGCGTGGATGAATGGCATCGATCTTCCATGACATTATCTTTAAAACACTGGGGTTGTTCCCTTAACTTGCAATGTGTTCTTTTCCATGAGAGAGTCCCTGGGAGAGTGTGCAGGGCAGATGAAGAGGTGGCTCACTGAAGTGATGAAAGGCCTCCAACTGTGTGAGCGTGGGGGAGTTACAGGGCCTTGCTGGGCCAGTATTCTTGCTTAGCAACTGGGGCAGAAAATGCCAGCATCTATTTCAAAGGGCTGTTGTGGGATTAAGTGACTAATAGGGCCTGGTGCATAGTCTTTAATGAATGTCAGTTTTACAGTGAGTATTATTCTGTTTCTTTCTCCAGAAAAGATCCGTCAATTCAAAAGTGAAACAGACTCAAGTTTCAAGAAATGTGCAGTTTCGTAACTGCTGAAATTGTGTTCAAATGGTTCTCCACTCAGCAGGCAGCTCTTCACAGCCCCAAGCTCTTCCAGCCACCGTGCTGGCTTTCTTCTCGGCGACGGGGACAGGGTCTTCCAGTGGATGCAGCGGTGCTATTCGATTCCCCAAGTGCTGCAGTGAAAAGCTGAAGTCTGTTTGTTTGGGGCTTGCTTATTAAGGCAAGTTGCACAGGATCCTCCCACATCTGTCATTTGATGCAACATACATATAATCTAGGAAGGTTGTAAAGCATCGTGCTGGCGGAAGCTGCAGCACGGCATCTGGAAAAAGTGAAGCTTTTAGGACAGGCTGACATGGTTTTGGATATGTGTTTTCTCCCTTGCCATGGAGACAATGTGAGCATTTGAGTATCTTGATATCGTTGGAGTTCTCAGCCCTCTGGTTTCCCTCTCTACAGAATGGGGGAAGTATCTTCCTATTCCGGGAGGCAGGAACAAGGATGAAGTGAGAAGCCTGGTAAATGCTCAACCTCATGCCTTTCATACTGAAACCATTAACTGTTCTTTCTGTTGAGCAAGAAAATCTAGCTTTGGAAATTCAGTCACTTTTGGCTTTAAATAACTCATGTGTATAATATGTTATTTAGAAAAGACTCAAGTGTATACTCATACTGGTATATTTATATATACATATGTTTATATCTTGGTGATATAATTACAGTGACTTTACTTTTATTTGTATTTTTTGGTACTTTCCACTTTTTTTCTGAGAAACTTATGAAATAAATGTGAAATCAAGTTATGCGCTTGTTATCCATTTATGTGTAAATTCATTATAACTTAAGACTCTCCATTCTCAGCTTTTGACCCTAAACTTGCAGACAGTAATATGCTCATGAGCATTTGCCATCCAGTGACTATCATGAATTTATGGTTTTACATTTTTGCCTCACGTTCATGGTCCATGACTGGGTTAGGAGTTCTGAATGCTGAAAACAGGCAGCAAGTTCACAATTCATAATCGCTTTTGTTTCAAAAGTCACTCAGTGAAAAGCCTAGGCCCCATCTGTTTCTCATTATGCCCACTGATACCCCTACCTTCTTAACAAAACATATGCAGGTGTGCCCCAAGCAGCCCAGACAAACAAACACTCCGGCTCTGCCTGGTTGCTGTGTCGCCATTGAGTCCGCTCAGTCCTGGAGACCCCATGTGTTCAGAGTAAGCATGCTCCACATAGGTATGGTTTTTTTAATCATGCCAATTTCAGAGAAGCTCTCTGCTCCCCCCAACCCCCGCCCTGCCTTGAAGCTTTTATTGCCTCTGTTGGATAGGACACAGATTGTGAGAAACACAGGTGAACTTGAAGAGACAATGCAGATGAGATTCAGTCAAGGTAATCTTGGTTTCCAGGTGTTTGATATGCGGACCCTTCTAATTTTATACATTTTACTATTAAAAAAATTACATTTTAAAATGTGCTCCTGTTTTGACCTTTGGCAAAAAGGAAATGGTGGCTCAGTTTAAAACAGTCAGCGTGGAGGGCTTTCTTGGAATGAAGGCCGAAGCACTCTGAGAAAGCCACTCGAGTTGTGCATCTTACACTCATAGAGTCACTTAGACACATTCATACACAGACACACACAATGCGCTGTGTAAGCGGTTTGCAGTACAAACTATTCCCTATATCCAGGCTCTTATCCTCAGACTCATCTAAAAAACAACAACAACAAAAAAGCCCCAAACAAACAAAAACCTGAACTAAGTTCAGAGCCGTTGAGTCAATGCCGGCCCAGAGTGACCCTGTAGGATAGAGTGGAACTGGCCTCTGAGTTTCTGAGACCGTAACTTTGTTAAAAAAATCATTTTATTGGGGCTCATGCAACTCATATCACAATCCGTTCCTACATCCATAGTGTCAAG